GAAATTATAACTGTAGTTGATCTAATACCTGTGACTCTAATAATGTTAAGTAATTATCACTGTCTCTCTGCTCTTTTCAGACTTTACTGGTCTGAGTACGTATCTGTTGCACTACATGGTTGAACAGTGCATGCTGAAAGGTACTTCACAGTCTTCTAACAACATGTGTACAGTTTACCACTAGCGATTATCCAATGGGAACTGCATAGTCACTTGAGGCATCCAAGTGATTATCTTGGGGACATTCTATAATTTAAACTGGCTAATTTGACTGTTAGTTCTATACTGAAATAACTTTTTATCCCCCTAAGATTACCCCAAAGGACAGACCTGAGTAAAGTCCCATGTACTCCTGGGAACTTTCAGCACCAGTATAACATCATAACATACAAATTTTCTCCTTTCATGCACGGGCCTAAAGAAATGCATCACTTAGTCTCGATGTTAAACAGCACTTTTCTTCCCCCGCATGCCAATGAGAAGTATAAACACAAGCATGTTGCAACAGGCATTTTAATCAGATACCCTAATCACTAAAACTCAGACTATCCCAACAAGAATTTTTTCTCAATCTAATGTTAATCAAACTTCAAATTTCCAGCCCATGGTAAGATGTATATCTCATACATAGTTCTTTGCTTAGACAAAATTTAGAATCTTTTCATATGGTAAGACAATTGTTTGAATTATGCTGAAATGCTTCATTTTAAAAGTGTTGAGCAAACAAAAATGTTCAGTTCAGGGCTGATGTACAACACGTCATTTAAACTGTATTAAAATGCAGTACGTAACATGACTTAAAATGCAAATCACCTCATCAAGCTATATCTTCATAATTGTTCTCATCTTGGAGCATTTCATACAATTTTATTTACAGGGGAGTTTTCACTGTGTATAATTCTCCTCAGAATTCTACTCAGACAGACAAGTGCACTCCCAAACAACACCCTGGGCATGGCTAGGAAACATCATCCAGTGTTAAGTATACTCAGTTAACTAATCAACTTGAAGACCTTAAATCTGAGTTTGAAACAAAACATTCTGGTTTTATTTTCTCAACATAAAAGCTAAAACTTCAGGAAACTGCTTTTTTTTGTTTGTTTGTTTGTTTTGAGACAGAATAACCATCTCTACCTCCTTCCTACTTATATTTGAACATTAAATAATATTATGAGGAGTGGAACCATACTGAGTATCTCAAGATGAGTAATGGTCCTTTATTTTTCCACTATATTATCTTAAATAAGTGCAATGAAAAAGCAAAGCCAGTCAAACATTTAATTTCATATAGAATGTCCTTCAAGTGGCACAGCGGAAAAACTGACTCTTTAAGCTAGTTACTTCCATTAAACATTTTCAGAGCATAATTCTATATTTTACAGATAATCTTAAAGTATTTTGTTCTTTTGCCTCTGAGTCTACAAATTCTATCTTGTTTTGTCAGCAGAAACAGTGTTCTGTTTTTTGTGTTTGTTTTTTTTTTGTGTTTAGTTTTTTTTGTTGTTTTTTTTTTAAGACTAAGATTTGGCCTTCAATGCCTTTCATGGACACTGTAGATCAATAATTCAAACAGAGCAGAGTTATTTTCCCCCTCTGTAAAAATCTTGTGATATATGGGAAATTAATTGGTAGGGTCCAGTTACATACCAGTATCCATTGAGAAATTGTCAGCATCATACTCATCAACACTGCAAGTGATATTGATTAACATCCTTACACAGAATAAAATGTGTCCCAAGAATGGAATGGCAATAAGTCTCCACCATGAAAGCTGAGCACATACAAAAAGGCTTATTTTTTCCTACAGGAAAAAAAAAAGAAAAGAAAAAGAGGATTTCAAGCTATTGTACAACGTCTAAATATTTTTTGCAGAGCACTGCTCATTCCAGTTATTTCTGCCTAAAGAAGTTGTCATTTTACACAACAGTCTGGACTTTTGAAGCACTTAAGAAAAGTGCTTGTGCACATGACAATAACCAATACAATATGGCAATGAGTAAAAGACAATTAAGAAAATGTGTATTTATTTCAATGCTTCAGTACGAACTCTGCTCAAAGCTAATCAGAACAATTTAAAAAGAATGCCTTTCTCAGCAGATTTAGCACAATTAGAGTTGGGATCTGCTTGCTTTTGAATTAAAGGAGATAACTCAGATGATGACAGTGCTAAGTCACTGCTCTGTTCTAAGAAATGACAGTCTATAGCACCTGGCAGTCCATATATTTATTTGAGGGAATCAGTTTCTTTACTGTAGTGCATGTATTTTTCTTGCCAGGGTACTGCTTTTCACATAACTTCACCAACCTTGCATTTACAGGTGACTTACTGATGAGTTGCAGTGAGAACTGCTCTTCCGTGACTGATCTGTCCTAATAATGCTGTTGATCTAGGTATATAATGCAATTGTTTTTTCTCTTCTTCATCAGTTATTGCAAGCTCAGAACATGTTAGGTTCATGGGTACACAGGGTAAGTCAAAGATCCATTACTGGTCATACTTATGGCACATAGAGAGATTAGCTGCTTATACAGTTCTTCAATCGATCATTTAAGTGTTATCAGGTTTCCTCATTTTTAATGTGCCACTTTGGCAGGTACATTTAAAGCAGTTTTAATTTTCTAAAGCAACACATCTTGCTGTGTTTATGCTCTCTGGTCAGTATATCTTAAAACAAACTTGAACACTCCTAGCTGAGAATATTGTTGGTGTCTTCAGCAGACATGTAAGCATATCAGCTCTCCAAAGGCTTAAAAGATTTACTTTAGGTATTATTCAGTAAAAGAAAAGATGTCAGAAAGAGGTTCCGTGAAGCTGCAACTATTTCTGCATTCTGCCCAAGCTATGACTGCCCATCTTAATTTCAGTGAGACTGCTACCATCAAGCAGCAAACAATTCTGCGTACCGGTAAGTGATACTACTTATTTCCACAAATGGTGAAAATGGAATATACTGCTCTGCAAAGGTCATGCTGTTACAGAGGTTGATCCAGTTTTTGACACTGAGGAAAATGAATAACAACAAGCAACACGAAATAGAACAGAAGATCTTTCTGTTTCATCATTTTTTGTTACCTAGTAATATGTATTAACATAAACCAGACATTTCTAGATCAGAACCATCTTTTGATAACACTGACCTTTCAGATAAAACTAGCTTTAATGGATGAATATGGAAGCATTTCATGGTATGTTCTCACTTCAAAATACAAATTATACAGATAAGTAGTAATATGCATACCCTTTACTTATTTAAGCATCCTTGTTTTTAGATCCCCGTTCTTTTCAAATTATATATGGATTAAATTGCCCCCGGTTCTTAGCTGGCGATGCTGCAGTAAAATGCAACCAATGTCATCAAATAGTAACATTTATGGTTCAGCTATTTTAAATTCCTCTGCTGCAAACTCTTATTGACACTCATTTCTTACGTAAGTAATACAAATAAGTAACTTTAAATAACTTGTTCTCTTAACAAATATTATGTTTTATGAAATTACTTCAAGTATTTTTACATTTTAATTATTTCTACCTTATATTTATTTTAAATCAAAATGTACATTGCCAGGTAGAGAAGGCAGTCAAATCATTAAATTTAAAATGAACAAAGCAACTTTTACTCCTCTGTAACTTTCAATTTCTTATATATGACAGTGGAAAGTAACTGAATTTTCCCCAAAACTGTCACATTTCTAAAAATAAGTGTTTTCGGATGACATCTCAAATTACAAAACAACCTGCAGATTTGATGAACAGTTGCAAAGTTGTTCTTACTAGCTTTTCTGACTAGAAAAAAAAAAAAAAAAAAAAAGAACTTCTACACAGTATTTTTCATCTCTATATTATAGCTGGTGTAGAATAATCATTAAAATAACTGCTAAAGAGACAAAAAAAAAAAAAAGCACAGAGCGCAGCAATAAAATGAGGACAGCACAGGAACTGCATGGTAATTTAAAAGAAATAAAACAATCTGCATTTAAGATTTCGGTTCCTATTACACTCTGGACCATATCTGCAGACCTTTCATTAACAATAGAAATTTATTTTGATTGCTTTACACTATAGAAACTGCCTATATCTGATGTTCTGCTCACTTGACTGCTGCCAAGTAAAATGAGCAGTACAACCATGTGTATGGAGATTTCTAAAGGTGTTTTGTTGAAATTATGATAGCATTATGAAAACAACTGTATAAATTACAGATAAATACAGCTGTAAAGCAGAGTTAGATTTGCTTTACTCTACCAGTGCTTCCTCAGTTATTTCAACAGAGGAACGAATCTGGGATCTAAACATACCTTTCATGCCAGGGTATCAGGGCAAGCAGAGATCTTGCCATCGCATCTTGTTGGCACTGCGTAGTGTCTACCAGAAACTATATCTCCCTTTAAGCCAATAGGCTGCCATCAGAAGTAAGAAATCTGCCATGTTTACTAACGTGTAAGTTATGTATATACTGCATTAGAAGAGACTAAATACGTAAAGAATAGAAATTGTTCAGGTGGTAATGACATTTTCTCCAAATACTGACTTCATATGGTGTTTATTGAAAAGCACAGTAACAGAGAAAATTAATGGCTTGACACACTGAAAGTATTCGGTCTAAAAAAGTTAAGTAGTAGCAGAGACTGTAGCTTTTAATTTTACATCTTCTGATTTTGAAAGTACTGAAAAGATCACTAACATTTAACAGCACTTAGGCAAGAAAGCATTGTTCCAAGAATTGTGTTGCCCTTTATAAGTGAGTGCTATACAAAAATTGCTAGCTATATATAGCTACAAGATAGACTGCTATCTGATACAACAAAAACTCAGAGATGAATTCCACAAAATTCTGTTCATTTTATTTCTATATTATGCTTTTAAGCAATGGATATATTTTTCCCTTCATGTTGCCTATTAGTTCTTTCTCACTTCTTTATACCATATAAGAAACAAATACCCCTTTTTTTGCAAAAGTTACATATCTTAGTATTTGTTGTCAGCTAGGCACTTTCACTGAGTTAGTGCAAAGTTATTTAATGGGCTGAATTATGATCTAACAAGCAGTAGAATATTGTACTGGGTATTAGGTAAATGTACCTTGGCAGAACTCCATTAACTTGCTACACATCAGCTAAATTTCTCCTTGTGTGCTTAAAACAGATTCAAAAATCTGAAAGCATATATCAACTGTTTTTATTCAAGTGTGGCTCCACTCCTGATCCCACTGACATAGAAGGAGCTTCTGGATCTGTGTAACAAGTATACTCAAATGGCTTTGTAGCTTCGAAAATGTCATTGGTGTTATCACTGGAAGCACAATCTTTCTCACAGTACTTCGGAACTTGCTTTGCAGAAGTCAGGAAGGGAGGTGCTATGAAAATGGGAAACAATACAAAATAGGGAAAGTGACTCACAATATATCCAGTTCTTATAAGATCCTAGATGAAATAATAGCAATACTCCAGAGTTTCCAATAACACAACCAAACCTTCTCTAGAAGTCCTTTCATATATGACATCCAATTCACTGTGTAGCAAATCTGCATCTAATATCTACCTGAGGTAGTTAATATGCTGTGAAAAAGAATTCTCTGCAGAATTTAAAGTTATTAAGGAAAAAAAACACTTAAGTACTTTTTTTCCCCTCATATGATGCAGTGGATGTCTCATTTAGACTTCAAAGCTACTACCTGGTTGTCTTGTTTACATATACAACTGTCTTGGAATGATCAAGTAAGAAGGGGTTTGGACTTTTTTTTCGTAAATTATGTTCGCAAAGCTAAAGACACAGGGCAGATAGCTAGATGTCATGAAGATGCGATAAAATACAGAAGTTTCAATTATAAAAGTTTGTTCTAGACAAGTTTTTCATTACTTGTCTCAGTAGATGAAGATATAGCATTTAACTGCAGTACTATATTTCTTGTTGTATTTTTTTCTAAATGAAGTTGTGCTTCCTTGTTTCAATAATTCATGTGGAGATCTTGAGTTAAATCTGGATAAAATGGTAATGGGAAATTTCCAGTGCACTGAAGCCTCGACAGAAGAAAAAAATCCTGTCTCCACTACAAAAACTTACATCCTACTCCTTCACAAGGAAGCAGATCCAGCCAGACAGGCTTTTATCCTTATATACCATGACTATTGCTCTTGCCAAAAACACAATGCCCTAATTTTCACGGATGATTAAGGAACTTAAAGTACTTCACAAGTTCTTTGATTTTGTTCTGTGCATTTGCAACTTACTGCTATTAGGGAACTTAGGATCAATTAAGTATTCGCCCAGTTTAAGCACAAGCCATTGTCTGAATCTAAAGGAACAACTAGATAGTTATCTGTTTATATATAGTATCTGCGTGAGTGCCTAAGGATGGATGCCTTGTGATATGCAGAGATGTTGCTTTTTCACCTGGCAGAGATGCATTGGGAAATGTTACTGAGAGTTTGTAATCACCCCACCGACTTGAGTGAAAATGGCTAATGCACTGAATTAGATATCAGCTTGACTTCCTCTGTTGAAATGAGGACAGAAAAAGATCTCCATAGTATTTAAACAGAGTTAGCCCCAACTCTTGCTGTGTTGCTCTTACAATTAGCTGAGCCACCGCGATAAACTCAGAGGCCTCTCTGCACCAGGAAATAGAAATGAGTCTGAGGTACAACTAAAGGGCATTCATAATGAATGCCACTGATCTCTCTCCAGCCCTGTCTAGTAACAAAGAAACAGCCCATCCTGGCTTCATGCCAGTCACACTCAGCTTGGCATGGGAAAGGAAAGGTTTGGAGAGATTTGACACAACAGATAGGTCAGGGCTGGGTGACAAAGTGCTGTGTCTGTGCAAGCCTTACCACACAGTAAGTGGAGAATGATAGGGGCTCCTAGGCACCACTGTTATCACAGATCTGCTGGGATATGGTTGCTCATTTTCCTGTGTCAGCTGTATCTGTCAGAGCACTTTGAAAAACAGTAACATGTAGGAAACACATAAGTGTCTGCATTTTGCAAATTTCTCTGACAAATCCCATCAACCATTCTACTCTCTAAGCCTTAAAAATTTGCTGCTGGTTAAAAAGAAAAAGAAAAACATTAAGGTGGAAATATGAAAATAACTGGAGGAGAAAAAAAAGATATGTTTAGAAAATAAATTGAACATTAAACTGTGAGAGACCCTTCTCTGACTCTTGAGTCTGTGTAAACCTGAATCAAGCCGTGAAAGATAACATTTTCTCCTCCCTTATGATTTCTCTTTGTCAGGCACTGACCATTTCACCATTCCAGAGATGCTTTTTAGCATTTGGGATGGATTCAGTCCTGAAAGGAGGAGTAAGAGCCAACACTAATCACCTGGCCTGTGCAACTTGCTTCTGGGGTTGCACCAGAGCACGTGACTTAGAGCTTCAGAGGGTGGGATGCACAGAGAACTCACACAGCATCAGTCTTACCAGAATCACAGAATCGCCAGGGTTGGAAGGGACCTCAAGGATCACAGATCTCCAATCCCCCTGCCATACACAAGGCCACCAACCTCCCCATGTAATACTAGACTAAGCTGCTCTTGACTCTATCCAATCTGGCCTTGAATGCCTTTAGGGATGGGGCATACACAACCTCTCTGAGAAACCTATTCCAGCATCTCACCACTCTCATAGTACAGAAAGAGTCAGACATTGTTTTCTATATGAGAAAAATAAGACAGGAAGGAGAAGTGCCTGCTCAGGATCCTCCATCAAGGCTGATACAGCTTCAGAAATGAAATGCATGTTTCCTGAACCCCAGCCCAGTTTTCCACCCTTAGTAATAAATTATGGGCTATTTGAATATTTTAACTAGAGGACAACTATGCCAAATCATTCATACATCTGTAAAACAAAGGCTCTCTGGAAAACATCATTTACAGTTAGTAGTCTTTACAGTGTCTGACACTCCCAGTGTCTGCAAAATAATTAATAGAACATGGCAATGAGCTAGAGAAACAGCTGATCTCCGTAATTATATTATGTTGTAACAAAATTTACTACTCATAGTAGATCCTCTCATCTATCTTCATACATTTTTTATTCTCTTTTCAGATTTAGGTATCTAGCCATAGAGGTTTACCTTTTACAGGCCAAGTTTTAACTCAGTATTAATAAGTACAACAGTAGAGCCAAAAAATAAAACGTGAAAAATATACAGAGCAAATCGTACATGGGAAAGGCAAGCCCAAGGCTGTTGCTGAAGAAACTATAACAGCATGATTTTGAAGATAGTATTGTAGAATCATTTCGAATAATCTTTCTCCCTTCATGAGAAAAACAACTTGTAGGTAGATGTCACCATATTATGAAAGGCTGTAGACTCAATCACTTTACAGAGTAATTACTAGATAATAAAATTATAATCACTGCTTGCAATATTAATCTTTGGTAAAGGTGGCTGAAATAATCTCAGAGGAACCAGGAGATTGTTTAGAGAATGGATATTAAGCAGCAGCAATTAAGAAAAACTGGGAGTTTATGTCCCAGGAGAAAACATGTAACAAAGACAATTTTATTACACTTACTAGTTACTTGTTACCTTACACTTCTGTTTTCTGCAGTAGAATTCCACAACTATTTCATATTCCTAGGAATTCTGAAGACAACGTTCATGCCCTGAAGTAATGCCAGAGCCCCACCACTCATCCTCAGACCAGCTGGCATAGATTGTTTACATTTATGCTGTTAGACTCAGCCTGGAAATAGGACGCTCACATCCAAATAGCCATTGTTGGTGATTTCTCCAATATTAATTCCTAAACCCTCCCAGGAATTACCTGGCAGTCTGCTCGCCAACTACATGCAGGACTTAACTGTTTGAACAGTTAAGTAATGTGGACAGTGATTTCTGCACTGTCTCCTGTGTGCTGGCACAGGACAAATCCAATGATTACCTCCAAGCAAAACCTTTCTGTCAGATGTAATGGGCAATACAAAGGTGAAAGAATGATACTTGGAAAGGTTAGAGAGGTCTAAAGTTTTTAAGAGGGACAATAGTGGGACTAAACAGTGTATAACAGTGGATAACTCTAAGCAGAACAGAATGAGCTTCATCAGACCAAGATAACAGGATGTTGCAATTCTCAAGTTAGGAAAGAATGAGGGATGGATCTAAATGAGGGAATGGAACATCGTCTGCATTTTAGAACCATTAGGCAAAGAGAATCATAGAAGTTCAGAGCCAGCCTGTGGCTGCAGCTTGGCTGAAGATCATGTCAAGGAGTCCAGGCCTGCATATTATGTAGGATGGCAGTGCTGTTCCTGGCAAGCAAAAAGTATTGGTAATGTTGAAGAGATGGTACAAAGTTGCTTCTGGCACAACTGAGCTGGATCCCCACAACCTAGAACTCTCATATATGAATTGAAATTAATTTACCCAGACTTATATAACTGAGTGACTGATTACAGAGCCTCTCAGAAATGGGAAATCTGAGAGCTGGGAAGGAAGCCACCAGATTAACTTTTCAAGTAACCAAGTTATACATGCCTCAATGAGAAAGGAGCCATGGAGGCCAAAAGAAAAGTAGAAGTGTCTGACGAAGCTGCCAAGACTCCCCAGTAGCCTTCATTAAGCTGATTATTGCTGTGTCCTTCTGATGTACTACTAAGGTAGAGCGTTCAAGCTCAGGAAGCTGTAGCAAGTGCTAAAGTAATTCAGACTGCTTTCTTGGTAAAAGGAGCATTTGAGGTTAGAGTCCGTAGTTGTTGCAGTTTAAGTTCCTATCCACAGGAGCTGTCAGGAACACCTATATGTGCCTGAGCAATGGGCTTAGAAGTCCCTCCACCCAGTCATTATAATTGAAGGGACTGTGGGGGAAAGGGAACAAACCCTATTGCAGTAATCAAGCCATCAGGATAGGCGACCAGGAGATAGCTTGGGAAACTTAACTATTTTGTCTTGCCTTTGGGAGTAGATGAACCAGAAAAATAAAATAATACATTAAGTTTAAAAAAAAAAAAACCTAGACCTCAGCACTTTTTGACACATGTATGACAGCATAAGTGGATGTATGCACTCAGGTGATTTTCACGTTGGAATTAGCCCAGAATCCTGAAACTGTATTTTCAGAGTAATCCAACTCCTACTGGCTATATCTAAATCAGCAAGCTCAATAGTGCCAGCATCTTTGTATTTAATCACGGTTTCTTTAACTGCATAACAACTGGAAAATTATTAACATGTTTTTGAACCAGTAGCCAAGTAACACACACCCAGACAACTCCTGGAGGTGATCAGAGATTTATCATGGGACATTTCCTATGAGACCATCTGGATACAATTACTCTGTTTAGAATGATAAGGCAGTGTAACACACCCATTGGTTTCAGAGCCAGACAATGGGTCCTGGGATTGTTCAATATACTGGTTTAGACTCACTTGACTGGAGTGAATAAAAGCTTTCCTAACAGCAGTTTTGCTGGTAGTTTCTCCAACAGAAGTCTCAAGTGTGTATACTGCATACTGGTGGCCTGAAGCATCATCTAGGAATGTGATATGAGTAGTAAAGAGTAGCGATATGACTTACTCAGCTCACCAACAGCTGTCATTTTTCCATTCTGTGAATACTGCAGTAAGAATGTAAACATTTGGCAAAGAAAATATTACGACATTAAACTTTGACTGGTAAAGCACTACACAATTCAGTGTGTCACATTCTTTCCCAATATTACCAGATTATGAAAGGGACAGACATTGTGCTGAGAATTTCATTTATCAAGAAGAGTTACTTGGGAAAGAAATAAGGACTAAAACTCCTGAAATCTCTTCCTGATAAAGGGTGCCAAAAGAAGACTGCATGATCAACAGCTGGATCCTTTAAGGCTTGTTATTATCTTTTCTCTCAGCATGGAGATGCAGTTCCTATACACTGCTGAACTACAGGTAGTAAGAGGGCTCAGTAATATTTGCTTTTAATAACTGTCTCTTATCTTATACAGTTGTTCAGTGGCAATAGCTGCAAGTAATAACAGGAGTAGCTGTGGTCTGATGCTGTCACAACTAAGTAAATGTATTCATAAGTAAATAACAACGATGATAATGTTTCTGAGGCTGAAAGCTGTTGTGGTGCACATGCACAAATAACACTTACCAGGTTGTTTCCGCTTGTCACATCTTTAAACTTCAAAGGGCTCTGATTTCCAGTAGCTATTTTCCATGCTGTTCAGCACCAATTGCTCTGCTCTAGAAAAAGAAACAGACACACTGTGCTTTCATGGTCAACTCTGTGCTGCTCTGAAGCATTTTTCAGTCTCTCCATATCACCTGAGAGGAAGAGAGATTTGTTTGTTTTTCTCTCTAAAGAAATACAAACCAACCTGATGGCAGACATCCAAATCTCATTCATTGCATTGTTCCTTTGAGCTTATAAATACCTGCAGCTATGAAATTAAAGGCTGGTCTGAGCTCCTTTTCAGAAGCTAAGTAAAATATTTATATAACCTGAATTTTACAATAAATAATCTATCTTTTATTACCCTTTAGGAAAATGGATTATTTTGATCTAAAAACCTCATACGTATCGTATGCTTTGGTCTAGAAAAAAACCTCTTATTTATAGAGTATTACCAAATAGTGGTAATACAGATGCTTGCAGGTGGCCAAAGAGGGATGCTTATGGCTCCAAGGCTTATTTATGATACATTATTTATTGTCCCTATAAAACGTTCTTATACCATTACCTTGTCTGATATTTCTCAAGGACCAACATAACCATAAATATTCACTGCACTTTAATGTATTTCTCCAAATGAAAACACTACATTGCTCTCTCAGCACCTTATGCTATCCTTGGGTTGTGCCTTTCCATCCCTTGATTCCTCATTGTGCCTGCACAGGACTTTGTGTGTGGGATGATTTAGTCAGTGAAGAATGCTTCAGAGACATAGAAATACAGGGGTTTATTAAAGGAAAGATGGAGATGAACCAGAAGGCAGACTAATGTTTAGAACACAAGAAGTTTACACACGTGAGGAAAAGGCAGTGAAAAAAGTCCTACATTCTTATTACAAGATTGGCTAGGATTCAATCACAGAAAGCTATTTTCCAAAAGATTCTACTGTCTTTAGGACAGACTATTTAAGAATCTTTGTATTTAACACTACTACTACTAGTAATAATGATACAGTATGATCATTCTTAGTACCACCTCATGAACATGAATTAACAGGTAGCTAAATGCTGTCTTATGTTTCCAAAGAGGATTCCCTTCCTAAATAAAAACCCTTTTTCTGATGTAGAAGGACATTCCAGTCATCTTTCCTTTGTTATCTTTCACATGGACAGCATGCAAAATGGTATGAATATTCAGAGTTAAAATATGCTAATCCAGATTCTGTATAGATGGACATTCTCCAAAAGCATATTGGCAAAGGAGAAGATAGGGTATTACTGCTCACCAACTGGAAGAGTTTTTCTTACTGTCTGCATTCAAAACATATTATAGAATAAGGAAACTTAAGTCTAATTCCATATCTGTTCAGAGCTCAAGCATAGCACCACTATTAACCACAGAATAATAGCCAGAGCTTTCTGTACATAACCGAACTTCCTTGCTTAGAGAGTAGAATACAAGTAACAGTATCAAAGGAGACCAACAAATTCATTCCAAGGCACCAAAAAAAAAAAAAAAAAAAAAAAAAAAAAGTGTAATAAAAAACACCACTGCCCCATCCAGTCTGGGGCCCTGGGCAGCCTGGTCTGGTATTAAATGTGGAGGTTGGTGGCCTTGCATGTGGCAGGGGGGTTGGAAATTCATGATCCTTGAGATACCTCCCAACCCTTGCCGTTCTGTGAGTCTGTAATAAAAGTGAGAGAAGTACACAATTACTATGTTAAAATAGTTTAATCTTCTATGTGACTCACTACTATCTTGGCAAGCTTGTCTTATTTGTTTCTTGTTATTTCTATTTATGACCAGAATAAGAAAAGCATAAAAATTACCTGGAAAGATAGATCTGCAGAAGGCCAAGTGAGTCATCATCATGCTTCATCCTCCATGAGCACAGGAAATGTTATTAAATAACTTATGGGTCACAGTGAACACCTATTCCCCTCACCTACATATAAGAACCATTATAATCTTAATCAACATCATGAGAGTTAAACCTTCAGTAAGTGCAAAATATGAAGGGTGGACAGATTCAGGGACTGAAATCTGGGATGCTGTCATCTGTAGAGATGAGCCATCATCTCCTTCCAGCACCACACCTTCCCCAGGCAGGAAGAATAAAGAAGTAAATAAATGTGATAGAAGAAAAATTGTTTTTCCATGGACAAATAATTACTGCTGCCATTCATAACATCATAAATCATAACAGTTTAAGCAGAGACAAACATTTCAGCATTGCTGACGGTGCTAAGTATAGCATAAGCTATAGTCATTATTACCTAATTATATCCAGCTTAAGAAGGGTGCTTCTTTGCTTGCTCATATTTTAAAAAAGGCTGAAAAAATCCTTCAGCAACATTTCTTAGTGCTGAAGCACCCAGTTTCTCTTCTCCTTGCTATCAACCTATACCACACATACTTAAAGTACTGACCAGAAGTAAGGTCCTAGTCTGGATCCAAACTTGACCATAAAAGTGACTGCAAGAGGTCAAATGTAACTCTAACATTCTGATTGAGATCTGAAGGTGAGTCTCCAGAGGCAAAGTTTGATGTGAAGGTATAAAGAAAATGCCTGCATTTCTCATTTACTGGCTGCCTGGCATCTCTTGGGTTTTCCTTCAGCTGCTGGAGACACTCAGGTAGTCCAGGAGACTATTCCTCACTGTCTTGGAATACTTGGAGAGATCATCACGCTAAAGAGACAGACAACATTTTCTCAAGCAAAAATCAAAGTAACCCGCTGAAGTCTGAAGATCTCTGGTTGTACTACAGCCTTATACAACTGGAGTGCCTTATTTTCCAACTGCCAAGAGAGCTTATGCAATTCCACAAACTCCAAGAACTACACCACAATTAGCACAGTAGCACTGGATCTAACTTACAGTGCATATACTAAAAACATAATGAACAAGAAAGTCATGGCTCTACCTCGTGTTTTTCTGTATACAATCTATAAGTATGCAAACGTGCCTTTCCGAGTGCATGAATTGAAGTGGGGGCCACCCACACACATTGTTAATGATTTGTAAGTTCAGTCTGTATTCATTTTGCAGTTACAGCCAAAAGTAAGGAGGATTACAGATCGTGTGGCACCTGTTCACTGAATTCATATTGCAGAATATAATAAAACCATGCACCAGTATCTTAATGCATCCCCATTTACACAGGACATTCATTAGTTTGTACAAAAATCCCCTGAAAGATATGTAAATATGGTAAGCAATGTAATGACACTGCTATCTCAAAACCAATAAATTACTATACCACACTCTTCTACCTCTTGCTTTCTAGACAAAGTAGTAAAAAAAAAAAAAAAAGAAGAAAAAGTTGTTCAAAAACAAACAACTATCACTGAAAAAGAAATGCCTCTGCAGGAATAAGCAGCAATCATAGCTAAGTTTATGAAAGCCTTTTCTTTCACATGTGCCAGTTAGTTTACCTCCTGGCTTCTGTGACAGTCCCTAAGGAGTTTGGAGATATATACTCTCAAACACATAACTTGCTTTTTCTTTTAGCTCAACAGCTTTTGACTTCTTGAACAGATTATTCAGTTTTGAAAAGATTATTCAGTTTTGAAAAAAAAAAAAAAAAAAAAAAAAAAAGAGGAAGAGAGATGCTAAAAAGACTTAGAAGAAGAAAAAGAGAACGCAAATAAAAAGCCCTAATTCTAAACCTTTGGGGGCTAAGGAGGGTGGAATAAAAATAAAAGTCACAACAAAAACGAGAACAAAACAATACAGTTCTTCTGGAGTAGGGATGTCTCGTTTTTGCCCAAGCACACCACCTGCTGGGTGTATATCTTCAGGCATGTTGTAGTGGCACTATGGAGGCAGCTCGTACCAGCTAAAATTGCTGTACACTCTGACTTGAGTCAAAGCTGAGAGTTCTGGTCTCACCAGGTTTCTTGAAGGGTTTGAAGTTTTGGATGCTTCAGGGGTAAATTCAATCCAAGCTAAAACAGAGTGGGTATCCAACCACAAGGCTGCAACGGCATTGTTTCATTTCATGCACAGATTTTATTATGTGTCTCACAAGGATATTTACCACTGATTAGTTTAGTCTCATATGCCCACACACATAGAAAATGTGTGTATCTTGCTCTGAAAGTAATGCCTACTATTTATTCCCATGGAAAATACAACAGATACAAAGAGCACAATAACAATATTAGATATAGCAAATTCTCAGCTGCACAGAATCACAGGGTCTAAGGGGTTGGTGTTGACCTCTAGAGATCATAGAGTCCAGCCCCCCTTCTAAAACAAGTTCCCTAGAATAGGTTGTACAGGAAAGAATCCAGATGGGTCTTGAACTTCTCCAAAAAAAGAGACTCCACAACCACCCTGGGAAACCTGTTCCAACGTTCTGTCACTCTCACAGTAAAGGTCTTCCTTGCATCTGTGTGGAACTTCCTATGTTCCAGTTTGGCCTGCTGCCCCTTTTCATATTGCTGCATGTCACTGAAAAGAGTCTGCCTCCATCAGCTTGACTCCCATGTTTTAGATAAACAGTGTGGAGGTCCCTTCTCACCTTTTCTTCTCCAGGCTGGACAATCTTAGGTCACTCAGCCCTTCCTCATATAGGAAATAGTCCAGACCCCTCTTCATCTTTGTAGTTCTCCACTGGACTCTGTCTAGAATTTCCCCGTCTCTTTTAAACTGAAGATCTCAGAACTGGACATAGTATTTCAGACGTGGCCTCAACAGGGTAGAGTAGAGGGGAAGACCATCTCCCTTGACCTGCTGGCCACATTCCTTTTAATGCACCCCAGGATCCCATTGGTTTTCTTGACCACAGGTGCACACTTCTGACTCATGGCCAAACTTATCACCAGAGCCCCAGATCCTTCTCCTCAGAGCTCTTTTTGAGCAGATCAGGCCTTAATAAGTACTGATGTGTTTGGTCATTCCTTCTCAGGTGCAGAACCCTACACTTGTTCTGGTTGAAGTTCATCAGGTTCCTCTACACCCAGCTCCCCGGAGTTCACTGTCCAAGTCTCAGTGAATGGAAGCACAGATTTCTGGTGTGTCAGCCACTCCTTCCAGCTTTGTACCATCAGCAAACTTTCTAAGGG